GAGGATCCCAACAACAGTTCCATAGCATATTGTTTTGCACGCCAAGCTTGTTTGTAATCTACATTGATTTCCAGCAAAGCATTCAAATCCCTTGATATTTCATTAGGCCTCCAAACCTTGGAACGAGTTTTTCCCATAATCTCATGCAATATAGTACCCATCACTTTTTATTAGCATGCTTATGATTAGGGTGTATCTGTAATGACGAACATGTGTGCACGTTGTTGAAAGTCTTGATTTCAAATTCATCAGTGGGATCAAGGCGTTTTGCATATAAACGCCAACAACAGTTCTCAATTTCACAATATACCTCATAACGATTTTTGTTAGAATGTTTGGTCTTAAACTGAAACTTTTCTCTGGTTGCTTTAAGACTCAAAGCAAATATTAGTTGTTGTTTGTTATCATATGTTTGACGAACAAACATATCATCATTTGGACCTAAACTGTGAAATGGTCCGGGTTCAACAATAGGATCATGACAATAAGGTATCGGAGGCATACCGTAAAATATGTCTGAAGCTTTTTTCCCGTGTGTGAACTCATCTTCTGACCATCCTTCATTTGACTCTTCACCGTCTGACAAAGTTTTGTCAGTCAGTCTTCCAAACTCATATAAATTTTTTTCTTCAACCGTATTCACTGCCACAGTTTCTTCTTCTGGACACTCTTCAACATTATCAGATACAAGGTTTTCAACATTGTATGGTACAACTTTCTGAACCGCTTTTGTCTGTTCGACCAATCCCTGAAACACCTCTAAATACAAATGCACAATCTCCTTCGTTTCAGAAATTACATTTATGAGTTGATGAACATCTGCTTCGTCTAAAATGTTCATAACATACCTATGAACCGGGTGTTGAAATGACAATGATATATTACTATTGAACACATTAGCCTTACTTTTGACCAAATCAAACAATATTCGACGAGTAACCTAAGTTGTTAAACTTTGGTCTAACGTAGGTGTTAATCCCATTACTTATCTGCCAAAAACCCCCAGTACATAAAATAACAAAACTCATATTTTTTTTTGAAAATCAAATGAAAAGAACTGATCTATCGACCAAATGGAGCTAAAAATATGAAAAAGAACACTTTATATCAAAAAACCCTCTAAAATCCGTTCCAACCACCCATTCCGCGGAGACATTACTCTCTCCGCGGAGCTCCTTGTCACCATCTCCGCGGAGGTACTTTATGACCTCCAAACAACTCACTCCGCGGAGGTGTTATTGTATCCGCAGAGGGCCTACGCGGATCACTCTTTTAAACGTTAAAAAATTAGACTTTCGAGTGGTCCGCGGAGATGACGTCATTCCGCAGAGGTCCGCGGAGGGTCCTCCGCGGAATGTATGTCTATAGCTGGAAAAATCTTGTTTTATGACTAAATTTAGAAATTCACCCCCATTTTTTGTCTATTTGTGGTATTTTCCCTTTCATTTAACTATATCCATACTTACATGGTAGTATAAATAGAAGCAATTCCTTTACGTTTTCACTATACAAAATACAGTAGATTTTCTTAAAAAATATTCTCACCTTGAAGTTCAACCCTTTCTAGTCTCGTCCATCTTTCCATCAACAACTATTATTAGATAAACCACGCTACGATGGTGAGTTTCACGACCCGTTTTTAAAGTTTTTATCGTTTTTCGGGGGAGGATACATGTTTTATATTATTTGTTTATATAAATCGTAAATCGTTTATATCGCTTATATATAATTTAGTTACATAATTGTTATAACAATTTACCATTAAAACACTTGTTTACATATATAAATTTAGTAAACATGTTACGCTGCCCACATAATATAAAATTATATTATGCATTGTCGTTACTTTGCCCACATAATATAAAATTATATTATGCATTATCGTTACTATGCCCACATAATATAAAATTATATGATGCATTGTCGTTAGTCCATGAATAAATTATTATACACTGATGTTACTCTACATATTCAAGTTTTAGAAAATTATTTAACGATATAATTATAAAAATCTTTTTTTTTATATAATTATATAACATAATCTGGTAAACATAAACATGTATGGTTAAAAGACTACAACTTTTAGTGCTACTCATTCAAGGGTTTTCATGAGACACATTCATCACCTAAGTGTAATACTTAACAAAGTCCCCTGCCTATAATCGTTAAATCTTAAGTGAGCGGGAGAGTTATGTATAGATCTATACAGGCTGACACCCCCACATGTGGTTGCTAGCTACAACCATCGACGGTCAAGTCACGGGTGATAACAGTCTAAACACTACGACGTCCGAAGAAGCGTTGTGAGGGGCAACAACTCGTCAGTAGCTCGATTATGGGAACTCATGTAACATTGATAATCATGCCTAAAAGCAAATAAAAAGAAAAGTTTGAAAATACTTATATACGATAAAACAAGTACTTTCGGAAATAAAGTACTCATATAAATATATGTTTGAAAATACTTATATACAATAAAAATATTCTTTGGAATAAAAAGTACGTTGATACAAATATACAAATCTGTGAACTCACCAACTTTATGTTGACATTTTTAAATCACATGTATTTTTAGGAAAATAAGAGTCGGCCGTTTCGATCTTTTGGGGAAACATTCTTGGGATCGTCGAAGCACTTTTTATCTTTATTGTACTTATCTGATTAAGCACTACATGTTAATTTTTGGTTTCTTGTATTCTAAAAACTTAGTACGATATGTAATATATTTTGTAATATAAAAATAACATTTGTGTTAAAATTTTGTATTGTTCAATGTAAACAATAACTGTGAACCATGATGACGTCGCACAAGCTCGACATTTCCGCTGTCGGCCGGGGTGTGACATTTGGACACCCCCTGAATTTCCTCCATGGATTATCGACAGTTTTGGAGATCGAGAATGTCGCAGGTTCATCACACTCGCATCTTAAATCTTCAGACCAACGATTCCTTAAAGCCCATTATCTGTACCCTTGTGTGTACGTGTTGGAGGAGCTTACCCTCTTGCAGGATTGGCGTTGGAGAGAAAAACGAAACAAAACCTAGCTAACAACTACCACCAACGTTCGACTAAGATTTGTAACCTGCTGAAACCGACACTTTGCCCTTTTGCCTAATTCCACGAAGATATCGTGTCTACCGCCAACGAAAAATTAAATTCAAGCTTTTCTCAATTTACCCGAGTTTAACAAAAGAAAAGAAGAGAATAGAAACGAAAGTCATGAGAGAAAAGAAGAGAAAGGAAAGGAAAACAAAATTTTCTTTTGTGTTCCCGAGTTGGAGAGAAGTGGAAGGGAAATGAATCATTTTGTTTTTTCTTTCCAAATCCTCCCAAATTGGAAGGAAAGTTAGGAGGGAAAATGATTCTCCCATTTCTCTCCACCTCTCTCCTTTAATGAAACTCGGGAACACGAATTTCTTTTATTTTCTTCTCATTTCCATCAATTTGCTTTCCTTTCTCTCGTTAAATTCAACTCGGGGGGAACGAGGTGTTAGTGTAAAAAAAAAAGAATTTCTTTTATTTTCTTCTCATTTCCACCAATTTCCTTTCATTTCTCTCGTTAAATTCAACTCGGAGGGAACGGGGTGTTAGTGAAAAAAAAAAGCCAAAACTTCAAAAATGGTCCCTGTGGTTTTCGAAAATACCAAGTTTAATCCCTAAGTTCAAAAAACCTCACAGATGGTCCCTGTGGTTTCAAAACTTTTAACATTTGGCCCTTCCGGCTCACTCCGTTACCATTTAGCCGTTGAGTAAGGGGTATTTTTGTTATTTCACTACCCAGGGATCATTTATGAGGTTTTGTATTACTTTTTTTAAAATAAATAAATAAAATTTAATATGTAAGGGTCCCACCTCTCTCTCTCTCTCTCTCTCTCTCTCTCTCCACCGCCTGCTTCCTTTCATCTTCATCAGATAGATCTCAAAAACCCAAAATCAAACGGGAATATGTGGCAAAACAAGTTCGTTCATCCCTAAACTATACAGTGAACACAAGAACCCACCCCCAATTTCAACCAGATTCGTTACCTATCGTGATTTGCAGGTTTAAGATTCAACAAAAATCGAGACCCATCGTTGGGTCTCTTTGGTTAACTAATCGCGATTTCAGGATGCATAAGAAGGAAATCGGGACCCTTTGCTGGGTCTCTTGGTCTCAGTTGAAATCAACAAGTCTCGACAATGTGATTCAAGATGGCAGATGTGGCGATGGCTTACCAGCAGCAGTAGAACGACAGTGGCGGTATGTAGCTGGGGGATGCTCCGGTAGCCTTCTGCTGCTCTATTTCTGTTTCTATTCCAGCGAGTTCCACAAGAAGGGATAGGGAGAAGCAACGACAGGTGGCTGGAGGTTGTGTGGGTGGTTTATTGAAAGAAGAACAACGGTGGAATTGTGGCGGTTTTGTGGCAGTGGGTGGCAGCCCTACTGTTGGCTTTTCTTGCTTCTAGTGGTTCACAACACGGAAGGAAAAGGGAAAGCAGTAACAGGTTTTCAAGGGTGTTTGTCAACTTGCTTGATAGAAAAGGAATCGAAGGAGGAGAGTGTGGTGGTTTATGGCGGTGGGGCTTGGTCGACCAAAATGGTGGTGGCAGCAGGTGGTGTGTGGGCAGTGGGAAGTGGTAGAGTGTGACCGGAGAGGAGGCCAGAAATTGGTATCTCCGGTGGTTGTTTCTTCCACCGGTGAAGTGGAGAGAGAGAGAGAGAGAAAGAGGTGGGACCCTTGCATATTAAATTTTATTTATTTATTTATTTATTTTAAAAAAAGTAATACAAAACCTCATAAATGGTCCCTGGGTAGTGAAATGACAAAAATACCCCTTACTTAACGGCTAAATGGTAACGGAGTGAGCCGTAAGGACCAATTGTTAAAAGTTTTGAAACCACAGGGACCATCTGTGAGGTTTTTTGAACTTAGGGATTAAACTTGATATTTTCGAAAACCATAGGGACCATTTTTGAAGTTTTGTCAAAAAAAAAAAAAAAAAAAACATACGACTTTAATGATATTAGTCCTTGAATTTATAAAAAAATCTGAACCGGGTTCCCTTTTTTGCCCAAATACTTCATCTCCTTCCCTCTACCCTTCTTCACAATCGTCGCTTCTTGCTCCCTCCTACCGAGACTCCGATTGCAACCCTCCGCCATTCCCTCCGGTCATCCACTCCAGACACCGTCTCCGCCATCTTCGCCGGCAGCGAAGCCCTCCTGCTCCCTCGTCGACGCCAGTTCTCTTCCACCCCTTTCTCCTCCATCTCCGATCCTGTCTGCGTCCGTTCGGTCTGCAACGTCGCCATCGTCGCCGTATTCGCCTCCGCCTCCGGCTGCTTCGCCTGTGCCGCCTTCGCCTCCGGCATCTTCTGTAGGTGACGTTTTCTTTTTCTCTTGTTATGTAATTCGAGTTTAATGCTTGAAAATCGAGTACGATTCCCCTGAAATTCGAGTATCAGAGAATGGTTTGGTTTTTTTTTTTTTTTTTTTTTTTTTTCTGAAAATCAGAGAATGGTTTGCTTTCCTTTATTTTTATTTATTTATTTATTTATGTTTTCTGAAATTAGAGCATCTTTTGAAGTTGTATTTATGTCGAAGAGATGTATTTTGTGCCAAAAAAAGATTGTATCTTGGACAGTGGTTGTTTTGTTCAACTTCATGATCATGATATTAAGGGTAAAGAAGGTTTAGTTCAAGACATATGTACTAGTTTGTGAAAGTAATCTCAATTTTAGGTGAAAATGGAACACATGTGTACTAGTTGAGAGCAACAATGAAACACATTTATTATTTTTGATGTTGTTTTGGTTAATATTGGTGTTGTTTTTATGAGTTTTTGATGCTATTTGGTGAAATTGGTGTTGTTTTTATGATTATAGCATTGTACTTCCTATTTCTACCCAATTAGAATGATAAAATTGGTTATAGTTTTTAAAATACGATGTCTTGATAAGGAAAGGTTGGAAATACATTTTTGTAATTGAAAAAAACGATAGAGAAGGGTAAAATGATCATTTTTATTATTCAACACAACAATTCAGAGGTTCCAACCAAATAACATGTTAAAATTCAGACCCTCTTAGAAATTCAGATCCTGCCAAACAGCCCCTTACTCATGTATGAAGTTAGATTAATAATGCTTATTAAATCTTTTTCTTGCTTGTAGCAAAGTCGGTGTTGTGGATTCGCCAAAAATGGGAGAAGTGGTAATCATTTGAATTCTTCTATTTTGTTATCTTTTAATTGTTTTCCTGTGTTTTGCATCCTTGATTTGCTTTTGATGATTTCGACATTAACAAAATTCGGTTTCATCCGTTAACCTAAATGGGAATTGTGTCTGATTACAAGATTGATTTATCAGAAAATCTTAATAAGTTACTCTAGTTTTCAGTTCAACAATTCACACTGTTGGATTAGTAATACTTTTTAACATGGAACATGTAGAAGTCTGAAGGTACAACTACAACTGGAAGTTTTAGTAAAAGAAATTATTTAAAATGATTTGATAGGTTCTATTTGGAGAAAATGTTTTGCATATTTTTATAAATGTTTTGTTTCTTCTAATATTGTAGTCATATCTCTTTTCTGAAGCTCACTCTTACTTATTATTTGGGTGGTTGTATTCTGTTTTGTATAACAGACCTTTATGCAGGAGGATGATAATCATTTAGAGGCTACAAGGGCCAGATGTAAATACTAAATCTTAATACTTTTTGTGTTTATATCAAGTTACTATTATTTGTAAAATTTAAGAATTACAGTTGATTTGTTTCACAGTTTCAAGCGTCCTCAAAAGGCATGGGGAACTAACTGAGCGCCTTTCAAGGTACCAACTCTTAAAATTGCAGAAAATTACTATTTAAAATAGCAATTATACTTTTACTTACTTCTGATTTTGTTGATGATATGTTTTTTTGTTTTCTTCCGAATCTCAATTTTATTAGAGACTCTGATAAAATGATTTTTGAGCGGCTACAAAAGGAATTTGAAGCTGCACGTGCTTCCCAAACTCAAGGCTGGTTTATTTACAATATTAGTTTTCTTCTTTTATCATCACAAATTTAAATATGTTAAGATTATTTATCTTTATTCCACAGAAGTTTGTTTGGATACAGAGCAGTGGAATGATGGTTTATTGGCAACAATAAGGGAACGGGTCTGGGTTCTTTTTTTTTTCTTTGACTCGCATGATCTTTCTCTTACACATGATCTTTCTAAAATGAATGGAATGGAATGGAATGCAATTCCTTTCAGACTTGGAAGGAATGGAGAATTCCAGTTGCTCCTTAGATATTCTGATTATTATAATGTTATGGCATGGTTGTATCAGGTTCATATGGAGGCTGAAAGAAAAGCAATGCAGTTGCCTCTGGATTCAAGCATGCTGCCAATCTCTATATTTAATGACAAAATTACATATAAAGTTGGAACCAAGGTATTAAATGCATAAAATTATCTTGTGTTAAATGCTAGAGCTAGCAATCTATTTGCATTTACATGTTTATTACGGCATTGTACTTTGAAAAATCTACCAAATTATAGCAATGCCATGCAAATACAAAGCAAGTTTTGCAGCTATAATTGGGTAAAAATTTTCAAGCAGTGAATGGGAAATGCTTTTTTGCTTTTGAATAATATTTTAACTTTATGCAAATAAATTAGTAAAATCTCGTGTAATACTTAGAAGACTTGGTTTTGATAGAAAAATTTACCCCAAGAAGCATCTGGAAGCCACTCGTTGGCTATAACAATATCATCTACATAAATTCTCAAAATCGTCTCCATAACAGCATTGAGCAGTTTAATTACTATTGCACAACGATAAAAGGAAGGAAATATACAAACTTATAATAGTGCAAAACTAACCTTAATATCTTTAAAGTTATGCTGTTGAAGTGTAGTATGAATTTGAGTGGAAAAAAACTGATAAGCAACAAATTTTTTTTTTCAAATGTAAACAACAATTTTTTGTTTGAACAGGTGATATGTTGTTTGGAAGGAGCACGCATTGGCATACAATATGAAACATCTTTTGCAGGTTAGTCCCAAACTTTTTATTTTTTTATTTTTGTATCTGTTTTTGCTTCCATGCTTGTGTTTCTAAATGATTTAAAATGGTAAATTTGTATTATTTTGGTCATTGGACTTGAATTGAGACCGATGTCAATTGAAGAAAAGTTGCAATTTTTTGTCCCACTTAGAAATATGGAACAAGGTCAGTCTCTCATTTGTGCAAAAGACGTGAATGCCCTTCTCATCTCGTGCATTTAAAAAAATGCAAGCTTAGAGATGCCTTGGATTATGAAATTGCAAAACTTATTTTATCCATTTTGTCTTGTTAGTGTAGTTAAAAATAAAATGGATTATAATTCATGGTATTTGTGTAGGCGAGGCGCGTGAGCTGTATCATTGTGTTCTGGAAAGCAAATCATTTCTTGAGAAGATGACTGTTCTCCAACACACAGTTCCTTTCTTTTTGCCAATACGTGAAGTAGAAAACGATCTTTTATCTTCAAATGCAATGGTAATATTGTTTATTTATTTATTTTGAATACATTTTTCTTTATCTTGATACATGACTCTACCATGCTTTGCTTTTTACAGAAATTTATAGATCACATTGGAGACCTATTGCAAGCATATGTCGATAGACGAGAACAGGTATTTATTTTCACACAATAAATGGTTGAAAATTTACCACTAAAATCTTCAAAAACAGCAATTAGCAAAAACATTTACTTGTCCAAGTTGGAATCCATGCAGCAAATATCACCACCACCACCACCACCACATAGCTCACTGAGCATTTCGGATTCAAAATGACTAAAATGCCCTTGGTTGTTATTGTAGGTTCGCCTCATAAAGGACTTGTATGGTAACCAGATTGGACAACTTTATCACAGTCTTCCCTACCATATGATTGAGTTTGTTGTGGATGATTTTGATTGGTCGGTACTCATTTCACACTTTCAACTTATTCTGTGCCTTTTTCATCCGGAAAATGGAATATAATTCAATAATAAAAACTAAACACTTTTTATAAGTTATTTATATTTAAAAGTTTCTGTAATTAATGTTTTTTTCAATTAGGGTATTTTGGTCTTTTAACAAGTGTGGAACTTTATGTTGCAGCAAGGTAACAGTGAGTCTTAGGTATGCAGATCTGTTGTCTATACTTCCAACTGGTATCAGTGTGGTGGCATGGCCCATGAACCAATCAAAGAAGTCCCCAACCGGGGGCAAAAAGGGAAATGGAAGTCCAATTCGATTATCCTATGCAGAAGATGCACTTCGCACTCTCAGTTTGCCAGAAGGTTATATACATAGTTAACCAGTATTTTAAGTAAGTTACAAAAATGGTCCCTCTGCTTTCTGATTTTTACCATGTGTCCAAAATTGAAACCTTTCCTTATTTCAAGGTTTCGTATTGATTTTCGTTCCTAAAACAAACCTTTAAATAAGAACCAAAATCAATATGAAAACTTAAAATAAGGACCAAAATCGGTACGAGGCCTTGATAAAAAAGATTTATACCTTGCAGCTAAAATCAGAATGCACGGGAACCATTTTTGTAACTTTTTTATGATTGTTATAAACATCATTTAGAGGTCATAAATTGACAAAAAAAAAAATAGTTGTAAATGGTGGTTGTGACTAGTGAGTGAGGTTACTGATGTTGTTCTGTTACTGAATTAGCATATGCGGAGATCGTGCTAAATCTTCCGGAAGCTCTTGAGCAAAATGTTGAACCCAAGGATCCTGTATCTACCTAATGAAACGCGCTTCAAGTTTAAAGCTGTACAAACTCTATTATTGTGTAAAGTTGATATTCATTGATTTTTATTTCCTTTTTAAATTCTCTTTTTAGGCACCTGTTTTTATTTCACTTTAATATTTTTTGTACTTTGTGCACTTTACTATTTTTACCAAAACAGGCAACGTGTTCGGCAAAACTAGCCGGTAGCGGGTAGCTTTTGATTTTGGAGTTTTTTGTTTAGGGCTAAACGCTAAACACGCTCCTGTCGTTCCGAACGATGCTTTTTCTTATTAACTAGCGTTTTCTTAAAAGCTAGAAGCGAGAAGCTCCCAAAAGCTGCGTGTCGAACATGCCCTAATTACCTACACTAACAACTGTTGTAATGCAATCGGTACTTTTACATTTACGCTTATCAAATATATTTGTCGTTTATCTGTTTATCCGTATTTGCAGTTGTTAAATACTCTTCTTATTGAAGATAAAAGGCCTTTACATATAGGCAGAACAAACGAAATAGAATAAAGAAAGACAAAATTACATAAATGGTCCTTGTGCTTGATAAAATCAACCAACTCTAGTCCTTTATGCTAAGTTTTTTGTATGGATGGTTCTTATGGTTTCAAAATCTTGCAAATATAATTTTTTCGGTTAACGGTGTTATTTTTTTTCAATTAAATCTTTTTTTTAATTAAATCCGTTGTGAAATAACATTTGTCCTTCCTATCACAGGGATCATTTATCTAATTTGTCTATATTTTTTTTATTGTTTTTATTTATTTATTTTAATTAAACTTTTTTTGATGTTTTGTTCGAATATATTGCTTAGTTATATTGATTAGTGTTTTTTTAATGCTTTACATTTACTGACGTTTCGACTATTTTATTTTATTTTATTTATTTGTTTATTTTTTTTTTTTTTACTTTTTTTATGTTTTGGTCGAATACATTTATTAATGCTTGTTTGACGTTTTGTTCGAATAATATTTTTTACGGTTTGTTTGAATGCATTTTTTTTAATATTTTGTTTTTTTATAGGAAAATTAAGTAATCTAATCATTTTTGTATTGCATTTTATAAAAAATAACTGCTTATTGTTTTATTTTTTTTAAAAAACAACCATGTAGTGTGGAATATATTCTGGACTTGTATTATTAAATGTGTCAGATCTCTGTACTATGGTCCCCTTTTTATATATATATATATATATATATATATATATATATATATATATATATATATATATATATATATATGTACTGTGGTCCTCTTATATATATCATGTCAAAAGATTGTCTAGAACACCCATTATGTATTATGTTTCAAACTTTTTTTTGGATTTCTCCGTTCCGCACTGCTCCGACTTTGAAGATTATCTTCTACCAGTAAAGAGCCCCAACATTTGTAGGTATGCGTCAAATTTTTATATGATTACAGGTCATTACACGTTTAAAATTAAGTTGAAGTGTTTTTAATATGATTTTATTTGATTAATTCCAATTAATCACAATTAACCATCGAAATTGAAGTAAAACGAATTATTTCCAATTAATCACATAATATTACAAAAAACACTTCAACTTTATTTTGAACATATAATCAATCAAAAAATTGACACATACCTACAAATGTTGGAACTCTTCACCGGTAGAAGACAATTTTTGAAGTTGGAATAGCGCCAAACGGAGAAAGTCCAAAACAAAGTACGAAATGGGTGTTCTCGACAAGGACCATAGTACTGGGTCAAATTTGACCTGTTTAATAATACGATCCAAAATGTAAGCATTTGAGACTAATTGGTTATTTAAAAAAAATTAAAAGTGGTGGTATTAGCAACAAGAGTGTGATTTTTTTATTATCAGATTGAGGTGAGTATCCTCACTATACTTGTGGGTAGAATGTACCAATGCCGACCCTTTGGATTATGTTGTAGGAGGTTGTCTTCGTGACACTTATCGATATGCTTGTATGTGTTCGTTGTCTTTGTGACTCTTGCTAGTATGACTGTATGCTTAGATGTAGGGGGTGAAGTAGACCCGTACCGATTGAAAGATACTGAAGGATTCGGAAGGGACTCAGCAAGTCAGAAGGGACTCAGCAAGTCAGAAGGGACTCAGAGAATCGAAAGGGACTCAGGGGTGAAATAGACCCGTTACAGCTTTAGGCTGATATGTATGTATGGTATGTGATATTTTGGGGAATTCACTAAGCTTTGTGCTTACGGTTTATATTTAAATGTTTTTCAGGTACTTCCGATTCAAAAGGGAATGGCCCGACATGATCCCATCGCATCCACTTCTGTTGGCATTTTATGATTTTGGGATTGTACGATGATAACTATATTTATACTATGACATACTTTGATGGTTTTTGAAATATATAGTTGATGGTTTGGTTGATTTTAAACAAAATTTTTACTTAGTATTTTTGGGCTATTAAATTTCCTCTACCTATGCAACCTTCCATAAAATTAATTCCATGTTGCAGCTTAGCTTTCATAACCAAAAGAGAACCATTGGAGACTCTTACCCAATCACCCTTTCCAAAATACTTCAGTCCATCCTTGGCCAAATTGCTAAGAGAGATCAGATTCTTTCGAAGATCTAGTACATACAATCAGTCTATTTCCTGACCATACCATCATGCATCTTAATCTGTACTGTGCCACTGACCTTTACCCTACTCATCCAATCATCACACATCTTGACTGTGCCATTGCACTCTTTAAATGAGTCGAACCACTCATGATTATACATCATATGAGAAGATGCTCCAGAGTCCAAGATCCAAGCATCAACAGAACTAGTTATACATACAATCAAAGCTTCATCATCATCTCCTTCAATATAATTCCCTTAAACCGCAACAACATTTTCGTTGTTTCTTGATTCAACCCCATTATTCCCTTTCCTTAGCAATGGAAAATCTCTTCTAAAGTGCCCCATTTCCTTATAGTTATAACATCTAATGTTGGCCTTAGATTCAGAACTTGACTTCTATTTGTTACCTCTACCTTTACATGATATTCTTCCTCAACATGCGAACAAACTGAAACTGGAAACTTCTTCTCCAACTAAAACTTTTTTTTTTCAGTTACTTGGACATCAAATAATCCTTCACATCATTCACTATGATTGTTGTCCTATCATGTAGGATGGTATCAATGAAATTCTCATAAGAATTCAGCAGTAAACGTAAGAGGATAATTGCTTTATCTTCATCTCAATCTTTACATTCACACCTTGTAAATCCAAGATGATCCTATGAAGTTATCTAGATGATCCTTCACTTAGGTGTTTTCTGATATCCTAAGTGTATACAAATGTTGCTTCTGGTAGAGCCTGTTCGTCAGGGAATTTTCTGATACTTGTCACACAATTTCTCCAAAATCCCATCAACACTCTTTTGGTCCACGACATCTGTCAATACTTTGTCTGTCAAACTCAACATAATAGCATTATGCGCTCTTACCATAATATCCACCTTCTTATCAGCCGCTATGTCCTTTGGTCATTTCGCTTATGCTTTCAGTTCCACTGTGCATCCTTGTTGAACGAGAAGAGCCTTCATCTTTACCTTCCACGAAGTGAAATCGTTCGAACCATTAAACTTCTCTAAATCGAACTTGTGAGATGCCATCTTCAATCAACACAACACCAACCTTAACTCGGATACCACTTGTTAGGGAAACCAGACGAAACCAAAAGTGGTACAACACAACACCAACATAAGGAACACATGTGGCACACCAGGAACATGTGTGGCACATCAAGTCACCTAATGACACATCATGATGCTCTAGTGGCGTATCATGATGATTAGTGGCACATCCATGCTTCAACAATACATCAGTAGAACATCAATACTCCAAAGTACACCATGACACACTAGAGTGTTGCATGTTCCTATATGTTGACACATCCTTCTTTAAGATGGCACATCCTCCTTCAAAGTGGCACATCATCCATCAAGATGGCACATCCTCCTTATAGATGGCTCATCTTGATTCCAAAGTGTCATACCTTGTCTATAGGTGACACACCCTCTTCCTAAATGGCACATCCAACATTCTAAGTGGCACATCCACTCTTAGAGTGGCACATCTTCATCATGGATGACACATCCATGCTCCAAGATGCTCCATTCCTTTCCCAGGTGCTCCATACCCCCTTTAAGATGATCAATTCCTTTGTCACATGAACCATTCCCTTCTCAGATAGCCTGTTCCTTTGTCATATGCTCCATTGAGTTCCGAGTGCCCATTGAATCTAAATGCTCCCTGAAAATGCTCAGGTCACATTTAACAGTTCTTAATTTTTTTTTTTTAAAATTTTTTCGTTTCTTATGTTGATTGATATAGTTCTTATCACTTGGCAGCCATGAAGTGTATCTTTTTTACATCTTCAGAGATCTTACTGTGAGGTTATGTGTATCTTTTTTACATCTTCAAATCTTCTTGTGATGTTATGAAGATGTTGTAGACCATTCATATAAGTTCTTTTGGGAAGGAAGCTTGAAAAACATAAACTAACTTGGGATGCATAAAATAACGGTTTGAATGTCTAGGAGAAAGTGAGTTTGGACTTAGAATACTAACCACATATAACTTATCACATATTTGTATAACTGCTTGTGGTGTTTTTTGGCAGAAGATTTGGGGGAAGATTTGTCAGTGTATATAGCAATTTGGACAACTGCAACATTCCTTTCAATTTTTTTTCTATAATTATTGGTTTGAGAAGTAATATATATGATGTTCTAAATGGATTATTGTGGAATGAATTCACAATTTCATAATCTTTTTAAAGGTTGTTTGGTAATTTGTAGATGGAGTCCGAATGCATAATTAGTCAGCAGATTTGTATGATAGATGAGAGATTAGTTTTAATGATAATTGGAGACAAGATCCATAAAGAAGTTGAGAGGGAGATTAGAGGATGTGATGCGGAAGTTTGGTCGGTTGATTTTGAAGGCTATGTGCTAAAAGTAAATATGCCCCTAAAATTTTGGATTATTTACGGATAACGATGGATTAACAAAACATACGATGGATATCAATAGATTAGTTACTGATTTGCCACCGATTAATGAGGGATTAGCAACGGATAAGTGACAATTTAACAATGGGTTAGTGACATGTTATCGAAAAATTAAAATTTCTGGCCAATGGGCTTGTGCGGTCGCATATTTGGCACCTCCTTAAGACCGGCCCTGGTCATGTCTCAAAACTTAACTTTTTCTAGCATCTTGTTAGTTTTTTTTACAACCTAAAAGCTTACCTTCTTTTTATTAAAAAGGGAAATGGCTTTTTCAGCTGGTGCGCAGTAGCGCACTTCCGTTTTCCCTTGACTAGTAGGGGTCCCGTGGTTCCTATGCCCCTTTCCTTGCCGCCAAACCACTAGGAGAGTCAGCAAGCTAGCTTGCTCGCATTCTAGAAACGGTAACTTCCGTGCCCTTCCTGCCTACTGAAATGGATGTGAATGATCGTGACAGCTCTTAAAATCCTATTCAGTTAGTTTTTTTTTACAACCTAATAAATTTATGGTTAAAAAATAGGATAAGTATATTACATTTTGTTAAAAATCAATTGTTACATGAAAGAATTTTCTTTAGTCATACTTTTCAGTTTATAACATGTCTTGCGCCTGCTTGAATGATTTT